ATTTGGATTATCTATACAAATATATATGAAGCTACATGTGAGTGTTGAATCTGGATCGATTCATATTGCAAGAGAAATGAAGAATCAGAGACAAAAGTTGAAATCAAATGGAAAAATGGAAGAATAAGTTCGAAGAGACAAATCGTAAAGAATATGATTTTGTTGCGTGTATCTCTTGCTAAAGAGTTAGAATGTCCCCTTTCTTATATATTTTTTACAAATGCATCAACCACACTATATAGTTATCATCATATTATTTAACTTTCTCAATTCTCTTTTGATTCGAACGTTACGTTGTTTGAATTTAGTGTTCCGCTCTTAATCTCTTCATATTTTCAGCTCTCCCAACTAGCATACAACTAGGTGTGTAGCAAAAGTTATCAAGACCAATTTAAATGAGTTAATTGAACCTATTTACGGGATACTGCGAATTGGACCTTATTTTCACATTACAAGATACTGCGAGAATGTTTTATAATCTCATATCAACCCGGAATCCGACGCCAACACTTCATATGTTAGCGTCAAATAATTTCATTAGTCAAACTTGTTATAAAAATTGACGAAAACTAGATCAACAACAACAATTCTAAATTTTAAGAAAAGTTAAAAATTTAACTAATGTAAAGTCCGAATAAAATTCTACATTTATCAAAGAGCCAAAGACGAAGCTACTAAATGGAATGATGTTAATGTCTCGACCACACCACAAAGACGTACCAACTCAGGAGAACCGCATGTTCCCACATGGTCTTCACCTCCATGCGGTTGGCTTAAATGTAACCATGATGCGTGTTACACTCCGTCAACCAAACTCATGGGCACTGCATGGATTATTCGCGACTCCAATGGTGAATTCGTTACCGCAACATCATCTTTCCTACCACAAAATAACTCGGCCCTTGAGGCAGATGGACTTAGCCTACTACACGCCTTACAATTAACATGGTACCGAGTTCAGGCCCGTTTCATTATTAAAACGGGTCCAGTGCTGGTAAAAAAGTTTTTAGGCAAAATATAACAAAATTCAGCAAAAAATGCCCTAATTTTATCATTTTTTTTTCATAAAAAACAAGCCTTAAATTTGGGGAAAAAAATCGACTCTGTAATTGGGCCATGTGCAAATGTACTCTTTGCACATGCACAGGGCCGGACCTGTCGGAGTTACCGATAGTTAATTTTTAAAGGCGATTCACTCGTTGTAATTGACTTAATACATGGACGAAAAAGGAACATAGCTATGGAGAATTTGATTCATGATATCCATTTTTGAATCAATCGATATGTAGGTGTTCAAGTTGTCCATATCGGAAGAAAGACAAACGATATAGCGGATAAACTTGCGCATATAAGGAAATCTCAATTCTCATCTTGTTGTATTCATAATTCACCTCCTTTATGTATTCAACATTTTCATATTTGAAATTGTAAAAGGCTTTTCAAATTTAATGAAACATATGTTAAAAAAAAAAATTCTACATCATACATCTTTTTGGCATCAATATGTTGTTGTGTAACAATCAAAATTCAAATTTTAGAAATAAAGTATAGTTATGTGAGTTGTAAACAGTAGAAAAAT